TTCTTGCAGGTTGGAATGCTGCCAGCCTGCAAGCATAAACCCATGGTTTTCCATGGTTTTCCCCTTTAAAGAGAAAAATCTGCTTTTCAAATGAGAAAAAAATGTTTTTCCACAGTAAACAGAAAACCGAGATCCCTGCTCATCACAAAACCACATTCCAAATGATCCTTACACGGATTTATCAGGTTAATTAAATGCTTATCATTTGAAAGATCTTTTATTGAAAAATAAAACTACATTGATCAACATATTGTGCCCTTTGGCATTTTTAACTTTTTTGTTATCTGATTATGATTTTGGTGCAATTTGAGTCAAAACTGTAAAACTAATTGTTCATTATTAATAGCTCTGTTGTTTTAGAAGTGAGAATCTTTTTTTAATGTGAAAAATAGGGTGTGCGTGTCTATATATCTATATAAATAGATAGATAGATATATGTCAGGAACTCAGGTTCAGATTCTGTAAAGATTGTAAAAAAATGGAACTATGTAGTAAGAAAAGTAAATTTCACACATATAAATGGTTGGATTCATAGCCCTTGAAAGTCAAATGTTGACTTTAAAACATATACAGAACAAAGAGTGAAGATGAGTGACTGCCCACATTAACACTCATAAATATGTCTGCAACCTGTGCTGATGGAACAATACCACAGATTGAAAAAGTGGTTCATTCTGCAATGCCCATTCAGACACTGACCCCAGTGTTTTGAATGCCAGCAAGAATACCAATTACAATGATGGGTTTTATTATATGATGCCACCTATCCACAAGGTACTGGAATGAAGCCATCAATTTGTATAAGCAACTAAAATGCTATTAGATTATAACAAATTTTGTCTAATAATAATTATAATACCAGCTATATTTAGCAGTCTTCATCTTCTAAGTGCTTTACAAACATTACCAGATGAGGCTGGAATTGAACCATTGACCCAGAGGTGAAATGCTCTTCTGTCAGATACTAACGTCTAAATACTAAGGAAAATCCAGGGGCACTAAGTTAAATTAAAGAACAAGGTGGTAATTGAAATTTTTTATTTAGAATACAAACTAAATTGGCAAAAAGCGCAAATGAAGGAGGTATCTAATGGCAAAAACAGGGAATTCATGCAACTCTAACCCAAGGATTCTGTTCTGCTGCTGACACGTCATGTGATTTTGCACAAACCATTTCATATCTGCCCCTGCAAAATGCAATTGCTTATCTTGAGCTATAAAGATCAGTCAGTTCCCATGAGTCTGGGTATGGAAGGCAGGTATAAACATGGGAGTAGGAGAAGGAATCAAAGGGGAATAACGATAGAGGAATAAGTGATTCTGTAATTCACAGCTAAGTATGAGCAAAAATGGGAGCAGGAAAAGAACTGAGGATGTGTCTATTCATGGTTGGTAGGAGGAGAATAGCAGGAAGTGGATTTGATGCAACAGTAGATGTGTTGAGTGAGTACTGTTACAGTTTGACAGTTACACAAGACTAGAATATCAGGGCTAGGGACAGACATTACACATAAACTGGTTTAAGTGATCAGAAACTGGTTCAAAACTGTAACTGAACAGATGTTCAGTGCACATAAACCAGTTTGAAAATGGCTGAAACCAGTTTGAGATAAACCTGACTGAATGTAATACCAGACTTAACTGATTTGGATCAAGCAAGTTTTTGTAATGTCTGTCCCAGACCCACAAGGGCATGAGTAATAACAACAACAACTATTATCATTATTATTGTTTTGTTATTATAATTATAGTTGTTGCTGTTGTTATTAAAAGGTTCTCCATTTGGAAGAATGGAACTCATGAGATCTGGATTAGATTTCTACCTTTGCCAGAGACTTCTTGTATGACCTCCGCCGTATTACTTGGTCTCATTTTCTCAGCATCGGTATATCCAACTGCAGTCTGTTGAAGGTGAAGGTGCTCCTCATTTTCAAATATTAACCTGTCTAGCTTCCATGTATCATTTTGGTCAAGTCATATTTCTTTTAGCTGCATTCTTATGTCTTTATTCATGTTGAATTGTGTATGTGTTACAAAGTATGACGAAAGTTATGAGATCTTTGTCTTCTTTGTCTTTGTAGAATAGAAGGTAACAGTCTTTCTGATGAGTCTTTTTCTATTGTAAACACTTTGAGACAAAGCCTTTTTGATAAAGGACAATTTCAAATTAGAATAAAATCTAATATTAAAGTAATTTACCATATCATCAGGATAACAAATATCTTACCCTGTGTTTAAATATATGTAAATATGTTTCTGATTGGTCTAGAAGAATTGGAATCAATTTTCTTCAGAAATAGGAAGTACTCCAAAAATTTAGAGTATGTTTAGTAGTCAATACTTCTCACATAACAATAACTACAGCAGGCTTATTGAAAAATAAAATGCAAGGCTAATGTAGATTTCTTTTTTTAATTGCTTACTGATATAATGTTCATTATTGCTCCTTGGAAGGCAGTATCACTATTCTTCATTGCATGCAGTGACAAGGTGACGTATAATGTTTCCTATGTATTGGGAAGTGTGAATTTATAAAGGTAGCTTATTGAAGAGGAATTTAATCTGTGGAAATAAATAGAAAGTACATAAACATCATCATTTCCCATTTGTAACGGAAAGGGTTTACAAGAATTAATAGTTGCATATAAAATATTTTCAAAAGTGCCACTAATGTTCTCTAGAATTGTTAAAGAAACCCATTATAGAGAATAAGAGGAACAAATGGGAATACACAGAGAGGGAAATTTGGTCCATTTTTCACACACAGTGTTTTCAGCAGGGAGGATTGGGATGGCTAATAACTATATGGAAACCTATGGGAAATGGAATAGAAGTAAGTGAATAAGCTTTTAATAAACCAAATGATTGTAATCCTCATGCAAATAATGGTCCCCATATTACATAAGTGTCAATGGACAATTAGAGGACATTCAAATAAGGCCAACTGGAAAACAGACAAGTGGTAGATAGCACAGCGTGTGGAGAAAGAGCCACGGGGAGTTTAATACAGAGTGTCTTAAAAGAAAAGGAGAATGGGCACTAATTTTCAAGTTGTTGAGCTATTCTTAGGAAATAGGGGACATGTCTACAGGAGATGCTACATTGCTGTAGCTATGTGCTATAGCGATGTAGCATTGGCATGCAAAAACCGTAACACTGCAGCTACGTCACTGTAGCAATGCACTCCCTTTCTATACCGCATCACTACAGTTATGTAGTAGCCATAAATAACCACACCACTGACAGCTGTTACTGCACCGTCATTTAGTACTTCCTAATGTATTAAATTACAGTACTAAGTAAATAAAGTACTAAAGCACGTATAGACATGCCCACTGAGCATAATACAGTGAATGAGAACTGAGTTGACTTGGGGCCTCAGGGAATATACGCCATATCTTCTGGATCTGATGGCAGGTGAAGACAGATAACAAAGTAATTGCAAATAGTTCCACATTACTGACTTTGTAGGAGAAAGAAATCCTAAAGTAAAAATGCAAATGTAGGCATTAAGATCCAAATTCTATTTTTAGGTATCTAAGTGGGCTTAGGCACCTGAGTGCTGTCCTACTCTTCCCTTTCATGTTGCCAAAAATCCATTAGTGCATCTATTTTCTAACACACCATTACCTTTCCTTAAGATTGAGTCACAAAAATGAAGTGAGAAGTTGAAGGACTCCCACCGACATTTGCCATCATCTGTTTTTCAGGGACTTGAGCAAGGTGAAATAGAAACACACTTGGGTTCTTCAATCCACTTACAGGCTAATATGTGGAATAGGATCTGGTTTAAGTATCGGAAAGCTGACATGCAAATACCAACTGCATGTATTTTCTAAGCTAATCACTAATGTAGATTTCTTTTTTTAATGGCTTACTCATATAATGTTCATTAGAGCTCGTTGGAAGGCAGTATCACTATTCTTCATTGGATGCAGCGACAGGGTGACATATGATGCTCCATATGTGTTAGGAAGTTATTTTCATAGAACTTCATTAGGAACATTTCTACAAGTTCCAGATGGATTTTCTGGTCAAACCCAGAGCAAGAGACACCCACCCCTCAAGCCAGAATACTCTGATTTATAGAAGACCAACATTCTAGTCTCTTCTCTACCAGAGTCTCTTTAGGAGCCGATGAATAATGAATATATTTCTGCTATAAAATCAAGTAGAGCAGACACTTAAGTATGGGTCTCCCGTATTCTATGTGAGTACTATGACCACTGGTTATTGGCTATCTGAGGTCACTCTCTAGTTACTTCATTATAAAAACACAGCACATTTTGTGTTTTGGTGCAAAACAAAGCCACATATAAAAATCTATTTATTTTCCATTAGCCAAAATGCCTTAGTGCTAAACAAGCACCAGAACTGCTAAGAGGGACCTTTCTTCTATGGTAATTGAGCTCCCTTTTCCTTTTCCCCAGGAGCAGACATGGCACAGTATGTAGTCCTGCAAATTTTCACATCATGCTTTATTTTTATTTTTTGGTTCTGTGGGCATAAGGGTAGGAGAGTCATTCTGTCTCCGTGGTCTATTCAGTAAGGAAGAGGGACCAATTAGGGGCATGGTTCTTGGCTAATAGTGCAAAGTAACAACTGGTACAAACCAAAAAGCAATAACAAATTTATCCATTGTAGGATGGTGAGGTTATTTAAAAAAAAAGGATGCAGAGGATCATACTCCGGCAATTTTGTTCAGTGCCAGGACCACACAAAATAAAAATGTATTCATGTTAATTTTGAGCCTCTAGGCCCTCAGTGATGGGGTACTACACTCACCAATGATTAATTCAGCAGCTTGGCAGGCAGTTGTGCTTTGCTTGCAACAGTGCCAAGGGGGGCTACTCAAGCACAGAGACTAATCTCAGATAAAAAGCTGTGAGGAAAAGTCACAGAGAGAAGGCAGTGTTCAGCCTTTGCCTTTCAGGGACATACAGGAAGGCAGGGTGGGGGTGCAGTTCTTAGTCACATAATTTACCTATTTCATCTTAGCATGAAGACAAGCAGGTGCATCTGCATGGACATTTAGGCAGTACTACAGAGCAATGTTTTCTGTTATCTTTCAAAGAAATAGAAAAGCTCAATTTTTAATTTTCCTTATGCCATCTCTGTCATTGAGAAAACCTCCCATTTTATTTTAATCGTCAGTGGGTACAAATGGTCTTAATTGAAGGAACTACCTTGATTTACTTCAGTTTATTGTCTGGCCCCTTCCTTTCACTTAAGGTGTTTCTTACCTGAGGGTAAGAAGAGTTCAAACTGACTGCAGCATGTTCATTCCATTTGGAAAGTGTTTCCTCTGGCTGTTCCTACTAGAAAGAGAGAGACAGAGGCAGGCTCAGCAGGAAAGGGATGCTTGTGAATTCTGTTGCATTCTGGAGAGCATGTAGGTTAATCATTACCTTAAGATATTGGGGCAGATAGAGCAGTCAGGTTGTGAAGCACTCAGATCAGAGGTGACTTACCCTGTGTGAGCTGAATGTAAAGAAAAGAGGGAATAAGATCTGAAAAATTAGGTTAATGCCTAGCTATATTTTATAGAACTCTAAATTTTTAAGTAGAGGTTTTTAACATTTCAAAGGCCAGATGCCTTCATATCATTCTTAAAAAAAAGCCTTCCTAACATCTTTAAGATCAGGATAACTTTGATTCCAGCTCTCCTAGTCCTTTGCAGACTGTTTTCTGTTGCTTTTTGAATAGATAGAAGTGTTTATTGTGGGATTTTTTTTCCTCCAGACTTTAGGTCTTTAGTAAAATAGTTTAAAAATGCCAATCCCTTCAAGGGAGGAATTTAGGAAGGTAAAAGGAAAAAACCCACAATCCCAGAATGCTAGGAAGCGAGAAAGTGTCAGGATTGTTCCTTGAATTGCCTAGTGCATAGTTAAATAAGTAAGCCCATTATTTCATGATGTCTAAGACAAGTAATTAGGTAATCCATTCGTAATTTTGAAATGTGACAACACCCGCACTGGCTTTTTGCCTCTTCTAAAAATGCATGAAATCCATTTGAATGGATTAATATTACTTTTTTATCCCAGTTCAGAAGCTACTGTTGAATTATCTATGCCTAGTTAAGATGTTGCTGTTTAAACTATAATGAAGGCATTATCTGGACCCAAGTCTCTTTGGAACCTGCTGGGTAGGATCCCAGATAATACTAGAATAGCCTATCCCTTAAACTTACAAGTTCAAGTTCATTTAGTCCATTTTACAAATTCCTATTAACATTTAGAGGACCCACTCTGCAGTGGAGTTTAGAAGAATAATGAAACAGGCTAGATGTGAAATTGTCACAAAAAATTTAGATAAGTTAAAAATTTAGATGATATGTAGCATTTTCTAACCAATTATTAACATTTGACATGTAAAATGATGGATAAAATGTTTTAATGTAAAACTAAAAAGTAAGGTTTGCTTCCCCCCCACTCTCCATGCTTAACATGAATGGTAAGAAATGTGGCCATTTTAGATGTATCCACTTTCCAAGCTTAGCAGTATACTTCTAACACAAAAGTCTCACTGGGCTAGGATATTTTTAGATTATCACTTAAGATCACAAGATGTTTAATAACTGAAAACAATTAAAAAAAACCAAACCCCTCTAACAATAATAAATTAGGTCCAATATTTCTGTCATTGATGAATGGAATTAACCCAATTATTTCAGTGATATTTATTGAATATAAAAGTCAACATTTAACATATATTTACTTTTTGGATTCTGACAACTTTAACATTTTAATTAGTAATAATTGTAACTTTCACAGTGATTACACTAGAGATCCTAGGATACTAGCCCTTATTTACCATTGCCTATTGAAGACACATTGGCAAGCTTCACTCATTTACATCAGCTGAATATTTTGTCCAAAGAGATTCTATTTTTAATACATTTATTGCAAAAAATACCATTAAAACAATGTCTCCTAAATTCATAGAATACATTTGTCACTGATCTAGATTGTAGGACTCCTCTATTATCTCATTTTTCCTGTTAGCTTTATAATACTATAGCTTCGGATAGCATTTTAGGGCATGTCCACACATGCAAGCATGTGCGCGTGCAGCAGCTCATAAAGAAGCGGTGCAAATTTAAGCCCAGGCTTTTTGCCTTAGCGCACATGCTGGGACATGCACTTTGCTGTGGAGCAAACTGTGCAACTTAGGCCAAAATAACCCTGCCTGGCTCCTCCTGCATCTGCAGCCGGGGGGAGCTAGAGCCTGGGACCAGCACCTGTGCTGTCCCCAGCAGTATAAAAAGCTGCCCTGTCCTGGCCCCATCCATAAAAAAAACTACCCCGGCAAGCAGGTCAGGGCTACTCATTCTCTGGAGCTTCTGGGGCCCATCCAATTGATACCTGAGGACTACTCCTTGTGCCAGCTGGACTGCTGCAGCAACATCCCAAATCCATTTTTCAAAATACCCCAAAATCCATGTTCTTCCACATTTAAAAGAAAAAAACACTTTAAACACGTGCGCATGTGCACACACTCACACACACACACACACACACACACACACAC